CAGAATAATATTTTCATCTTCCTTTCTGAATTTTAATATTATCTTCACCTCTTCTTTCATGATTTTTTTACGTACACCCTTGCTTCCATCATCTGTGCTTTCGTCTTCAAGGTTTCTTTTGATTCCTGAATTCTCACAAGTTCTGCCCGCTTCACTACTTTTGGATTTTCCATTTCTCCGGAAACTACCAACTGGCATCCAACTATCCATATCCGAATCACTTTCTAGCTCTTCCTCATCCTCTACAACTTGAGCCGCCGTCTTGATCCCACAAACTGGCTTTTGACTCGGATCAGTGTCATTGTCATCGTCTCCTTCTTCCGACGAGGACCCCCAAATTATTTCGCCGTTTGAGTAGGCTACAGGACTTGGCATCTGTTTTCTTCGGCGACTAGCTAAAAAATCAAACTCCAGCTCTCAACATCAGGCGCTAACTCCACAGCGACGCTGCAACTGCTTTCTCTCTCAGATCCCCAGTGTGATTTAAAGAAGACACACGTTTTAAGATCCCACAGGCTTCGTGGGAATCACAAGATGGCGCCAGTTCAGCTTCCGGTTCCGGTTTCGTCACTTCCGGAATTCCGTCCGTCATTTCCCAGTCAAGATAATAACCCTCCCTTCTCGTCAGAACTCATCCCATCGTTTTCGTCTCCCGGTCCTCCTTTGCCTGAGAGATTTTCTGGCAACCCAAGAAAGCTCAAGGGATTTCAATTTCAGTGTCAGCTATTTTTTAGTTTTCACGCTGCTAACTTTCGTTTTGATAAAGATAGGATAGCTTTTGTTATTACTTTTCTTTCTGGTGAAGCCCTTGAATGGGCAGAGACCAAATTTCCGCCAAATATTAGAGAAAGCTGTACATTTGAGAATTTCACCCAGGAGTTTGAAAGAACTTTTAGTCAGGTCACTAAGTTCTCCGTTTCCGGCAACCTTCTAAGTATTAAACAGGGTAATAGGTCCGTTGCCGAGTTTTCCTCTGATTTCCTGGTAAAAGCAGCCGTTTCCGGGTGGAACGAGCCTGCGCTCCAAACCACTTTTCTCCTAGCTCTAAACGAACCAGTCAGAAATGAGCTAACATTTCACGATGAGCCAGCTAACCTTGAAGACCTCATAGAGCTAGCCATCGGATTAGACATCGAACTGCAAACTAGACCCAGAGCCGTCCACCTTCAGTCTCAGGATTCCAGTTCCCATCTACACCAGGTCAGTCTCAGCTCCAATTTACTTGATCGTCAGTTAGCTCCGTCTGTTAAGACTCAAAATAGTCCCACCAGTTACACGTCAAACAGCTAGAGATCCCCGCCATCCTGTTCAGACACCTGCACCCGTCACCGTAAAAACTAGACCAGTTCCCTCACCTGTTGATCAAGCTCCCCACATCCATGAGGCTGATCTATGGAACTTTTTCTATGGTGATAGAGATGATATCTTCCCTTTCGAGCCACCACTTTCAGTTACACGCCAGCCAGATCCAGATCCTGAACCAGTAAATAACCCAGTTAATTTTAAACCTGACCCCTTGCCTGATTTTTTAGCCTCTGATCCTGTAATCCATTCTGGAATTATTATTTCTCAACCGGTTAATTTAGTGTCTGATTCAATCAATAAACCAGTTAGCCAAGCTCCAAAGACTCCTCGGCGTAAGAAACGGCGTCGCCCTAAGTCAACTCCGTGCCGTCTAGAAACCCCTGAGCCTGCTCTGTGCCGTCCAGAGACCCCTGAGCCTGCTCTGTGCCGTCCAGAGACCCCTGAGCCTGCCCTGCACCGTCCAGAGACCCCTAAGCATACTCTTAAGAGGGCTTCAGAAAGTGGAGTTGGTGAAAGAATGCCTCCAAGAGCCCCTCAGCAAAGGCCACAAACCACCAAGAGTCCTCCACAGACGCTTCAAGCCACCTCAAAGACTGAACTTGAGCCTCCATGGGTCGCCCCTCCAGTTCCAGAGGTGGAACCACAACCGGTGGTGTCCCCTGTTCCTGATCGGGAGCCGCAATCGGCGGGCTCTCCTGTTCCTGATCGGGAGCCGCAATCGGCGGGCTCCCCTGTTCCTGATCGGGAGCCGCAATCGGCGGGCTCCCCTGTTCCAGACCCGGAGCCCCAATCGGCGGGCTCCCCTGTTCCAGACCCGGAGCCGCAATCGGCGGGCTCCCCTGTTCCTGACCCGGAGCCGCGATCGGCGGGCTCCCCTGTTCCTGACCCGGAGCCGCGATCGGCGGGCTCCCCTGCTCCAGAGCCGCAATCGGCGGGCTCCCCTGCTCCCGAGCCGCAATCGGCGGGCTCCCCTGCTCCCGAGCCGCAATCGGCGGGCTCCCCTGCTCCCGAGCCGCAGTCGGCGGTCTCCTCAGAGCCTCCTCCAGAGCCGCAGCCGGCGGTCTCCTCAGAGCCTCCTCCAGAGCCGCAGCCGGCGGTCTCCTCAGAGCCTCCTCCAGAGCCGCAGCCGGCGGTTTCTTCAGAGCCTCCTCCAGAGCCGCAGTCGGCGGTCTCCTCAGAGCCTCCTCCTGAGCCGCAGTTGGCGGTCGCTACTGAGCCTGAGCTGCCGAGGAGGGGACGGGGTACCCCGTGGTGGTATCTGCTGAAGTTTGGGCGTCTTCCTCCTAAAAAGGTGCTTCGCCTCCGGCCCCGCGGCAGACCTCATGAGCGTCAGCTTCGCCTCCGGCCTCGTGGCAGACCTCCAGAGCGTCGGCTTCACCTCCGGCCCCGTGGCGGACCCCCAGAGGCTCAGCTTCGCCTCCAGTCCCGCGGCAGATCCCCGGAGCATCATCTTCACCGCCGACCCCGTGGCAGACCCCCAGAGTGTCAGCGTCGCCTTCGACCCCGCAGCCGGCCACCTAAGACTCTGCTCCGCTGTCGGATCCTTGGCCGGCCTCCTGAACCTCAACCGTGCCTCCGGCCCGGCGGTGGTCCCCCTAAGACGCTGCTTCGCCTTCATCTCAACGGTCGACCTCCTGAGCAGCAATTACGCCTCCGCCGTCGGCCCCATGGTAGGCCACCTGAGACTGTGTCCTGCTGCCGGCCCCACGGCAGGCCACCTGAGACTGTGTCCTGCTGCCGGCCCCACGGCAGGCCACCTGAGACTGTGTCCTGCTGCCGGCCCCACGGCAGGCCACCTGAGACTGTGTCCTGCTGCCGGCCCCACGGCAGGCCACCTGAGACTGTGTCCTGCTGCCGGCCCCACGGCAGGCCACCTGTGACTGTGTCCTGCTGCCGGTCCCTCGGCCGGCCACCAGAGACTTTGCCCGAAAATTTTTTGGGTTTTCTTTTGTTTTCGTCCACCATAAGTGGATTGTTTTTTGTTCTGGACTCTGGTTTAGTTTTCGGCCCTCCTGGCCTGTTTTCCCCTTCGCCCACCCTGGGTGGGTTGTTTTTGTTTTCTGGACTCTGTTTTTTGTTGTTTCTGGCCCTCCTCACCCTAGTGCCCCCTCCGCCCGCCCTGGGTGGGTTGTTTTTTGTTTTTTGGACTTTTTTTTTTTTTTTCAGGGGGCGTCTGGAATCCGCCCTTGAGGGGGGGGCTCTGTTGGGATCCTCAGGCTTGCCCACCAGAGGGCGCCGAGGATCCTCTTCTGCTCTCTTTGTCTTTTGTTAGGTTCTGGAGATTACCCTCTGCCTCCAGCAGAGTGCGCCGTGGGTCCTCCTTAGCTGAGCCTCCCACACACCTGTGGCTGATCTACTCATCAGGAGGACCAAAGTATTTAAGCTGCCTTCAGACCTTAATTCCACGCCGCAGTGTTGATCTTAGTTGGTTAGCTTCCTGAACCTTCTGCTATAGACTGAGTCTTGGTTGTTCCTAGGTTGAGATCAGATTCTAATCTCTCCTATCTGTGCCTCACAGGAATCCTGTCTCCTCGTGAAGCTCTGGACGAGCTTAACCTCCTGTCTCCTCGTGAAGCTCAGGAAGAGCACCCTCACTGGAAATCAGTCTCTGGTCTGCAGCTCTGGAGGAGCTGCACCACAGGAAACCAGTCTCAAGCCTGAAGCTCTTGGAAAGCCTAACCTGCTAATCTGCCCTGGTGAGCCAACCCGAAGATTCCTACGTGGTAGAAACCTGACGACTTCTCTGAGGAGTTTCCCTAGAGGTTCCCATGTGGATTTTCCCCTGTAGTTCCCTGCGGTGAGCTGGAAGCTCAGCCTGAGAAATCCTTCATGTTTTCCCCTGTTGTTCCCTGCAGTGAGCTGGAAGCTCAAACTCAGGACTGCCAGGCTAAGCCTAGCTTGATGCTTAGCCTCACTTGAACTCAGCTACCATCCATCTCCCTTTCCCTGCACAAACCCCAGTGAACCAGCCCCCTGCCTGAACTGTTCCCTTTTCATGATTCATGTTTGTGCCACAATAAACTCTTTTGGACTTTTTACCCAGTGTCTCCGTGTGTGTTCTGCATCTTGGGCTTACTCTCTTAGAAACCCATCATGACAGTATGTGGAGTAAAAAATGAGCACTGAGAGTTGATATGCAAGGAAGAAAACGTTTTATTTGACTCTGCAGAGGAGAACTACACGAGACAGCTGCGTAAAGCTCCCAGTGTAGCTCTGATTAGGTCCTGCCCACCCTTGCATTATAAAGACTTCTTACACACGAACATTGAGTCTTCCCAACAGAAACGCCTCATCAAAGGACGTAAATTTGTTCAGATAAACTGTTTTCCGTTCACGCCAGAAACAGGACGGGAGAACGATAAGAGCATAAGTTTTAACCATAGCATGAAGGAGTCTTTGTGAACTCATTATTTCTAATGACCTTCCCCTCAACCTTATCTAGAGTAGGGAGGGGAGGCACCTGCTTTCTGTCCCCCTAAACTGTATAGCATAGTGAATGGTACAGAATTTCTCTATCATTACTTCTGTTCAAACATTTTATCACACAAAGCAGGCCAAGGAAAAACCTTGATTCCACAGGTACTTTATGGATAAATATAAAAAGAAATGACAGAAGTAGAACTTTAATTAGTTTTAATGCAAATAATTAAAATTCCTAAAACAAGAGGCTCTATGTCTCACATGTTAAAGCTTACTTTTGGTTGCATCCTCTCCTTGCCTATGATGAACTGAGCATGACCTCCTCCCTCTCTGGCCATCCCATAGATAAGCTCAGAGCTGGCACCTTCTCCAATCCCAAAAGAGAAACACCTAGAATAAAGACAGATGCACTTTGGAAACTTGCTGATTCACTTGGTGCTCAAAATAATCCAAAGGTCTGGCCTGGTTTCAGTTATCTTACCTGTGAAATTCAGAGTTTTTCTTCACCTCATCCACGACAGATTTTGTGCAACACACCTCACCATCGGTGAAGATGAACAGCTGAAGAAGATGAAACATACAGTAAAGAGGAATGTATTTTTAGTGACATAAAGACTTAATCTTAGTGATTTCTGTATCAGTGACGCAGGCAAATCAAAGACTGTTATGGACCCTGAACAAAGCGGATCTCTGCTCTAAAGACTGAACCCACAGAGGAATGGTTTTATTGAATATGGACCAGAAAGCCCTTTACCACAGCTACAAAACAAAAGTGATCAACCAAAGACACCTTCAGAACCAGCTGGAGAGAAAAACCTAAGAAAAAACCTCTCCAGTGTTGGATTTTATACAAACCTCCTATTAAAAAACAAACTGGTGATCTCCAATGGAGGATTTTACACAGCGCCACAAACTCGCCACAAACTCGTCTTTACCCGTTATTAATCGGGGTGTGTTAAACGAGCGTCGTTTCTGCGGTCTATCTGAGAACGTGTTCCACGTTTTTGTTGAATGCACAAAATTAAAGATAATTTTAGCCTTTTAGGGTAATTTAGACAGAACAGAAAAAAAAAACAAGCCGATGGCCGACCTTTATATTTTTTTAAATCAGTGAAACAAAGATGGCCGTTTACCTGTCCCGCAGAGACAGACTGCAGGAGGAATCTCACCTTGATGCTGTGACTCTGTGGAAGTGCAACGTTAAAGCCAGAATAAGGCTGAGAACACAAAAGACCGAAAATACGCTGACATTTATATTTATAGATAGACATTAATGTATATAAAAACAAGGATGAATAACAGTCGATTCCGATGCAAACAGCAATATATCATGGCTTCCTAGAGTGTACAGTGTTTTTTTCCTTCATCCATCCTGAAAAATTTGGATTTATTGATGGATATTTTTCCTTTCAGCTACATTAGTGATTATCCTCCTCTAAAAATAGCAAAATCAAATTTAGAAACTTGTCCCACATATTGCCAAAGTCTATGTATTGAAATTATTGGTGGGGACATGTCCACACCAGTCCTTTAGAAAGTTACGCCTGTGTGGCAAACATCTTTTCCATTGTCATTACTTACCTACTTTTATCGATAATCATTCTGCATAAAAATGATATTTACAAGTACAAATATCTACATAAATTGATTGCTTATTATTTTTATCAAAATGATTATTAATATATGATTTCACTGAAGACTCCTAGATGACTTGCAGAGACTCATAATTTTCTCCTTAGCCCATATAACACAAAATCTAGTTCTGAAAAGACCATGAGTTCTGTACTTATCATCTTTAATGTTTGTATATTGATGTGTATAATTAACCACAGAGTTTTTGTTGTGAAGAAATTATAAATATATGAAAGAATAGTAAGTAATATATGAAAAATTAAAATGAATATTCCACTTGAGAGTATTACTGTTGCCACCATCTGTATTAGAGGGGGTAAATGGTGGTGGTGGCCAACCTCGATTTGGAAATCTCAGAATTCAGATCTAAACTATATTTATATCTGGGTGGGCTATATCTATAAGCACATATTTTCCACTGAAGTGTGAGTAATAAGTTAATAGTCCCCAACAGAAGCCAAAACATCACAAATTGATTGGTTAAACAGAAAACAAGGAAAATTGTGTGAAAACACTGAATTTGTACACAGATCTAAGTGTGTAAATAAAATAGAAGTAATATAGGCATGTTAAGCTATTTTGAAATATTTTTCTGAACAATAAGGTACAAGAGGGAATAAAGAAAAAAAAGAAGCCCAAAGAGTTCTTGTTTAAATAATCCCTAATCAAAGTGAAAACTGAGCTATGCTTAACTTCTCCTATTGGCCTCTTGATACTTAGTGTGTGGGTTTGTGTTTTTATGTGCATTACCTGTCTGGGTTTATCAGGAATACAGGGCTGTCCATAAATGTGTTGCAGAGGCTCCAGGATCTGTGTTCCTCCAAGGTTACAGTTCATCTCCTCTACTTTCTTCAAAGCCCGTTTTAGGTTCTTCTGGCTGTACTTTACACTCTTACTGTTGGAGAAACGGTGCACACTTACTGCAAATACATAAATATCTCCTTCTCACATATAAAGCCTTAAATGGCCAAGCTCCATCTTATATCAGAGATCTGATTGTTCCTTATGTTCCTAACAGAGCACTTCGCTCTCAATCTGCAGGTTTACTAGTGGTTCCTAGAATTTCTAAAAGTAGAATGGGAGGCAGATCTTTTAGTTCTCAGGCTCCTCTCCTGTGGAACCAACTACCAGTTTTAGTCCGTGAGGCAGACACCCTGTCTACTTTTAAGGCTAGGCTTAAAACTTTCCTTTTTGATAAAGCTTCTAGTTAGAGTGGCTCAGGTTATCCTGAGCTATCTCTATAGTTATGCTGCTATAGGCTTAGACTGCTGGAGGACATAGGGACCCCTTTTTCATCATTCTGCTTCATTCTATCTCTATTCTCCCACTCTGCAGAATCTATTAATTCAATCTCTAACGTTCTGCTCTCTCTACTTTTTCTCATAGTAGCTTCATCTGGTTTTTTGCCTGTTTGGCTGTAACTCCATCCTGGAGAGAATTATCAGCTGTGCTGCTGCCATCAACAAGTTTGTTTATAGATGTTGAAGATCGGCCTGTTTATTTATTGTAGTCCTGTTTCTCTGACTGATTAGCTGGATGTGCTCTCTTCATCCTCTGACATGGGAGCTGGCTCCGAGCTCGTCTGCCTGGCTGTGTGTTTCCTGGAAAGGTCACCTGTGGAGCTGGTTTACAGTCACCTTTTGTATCTATGCTTCCTTTTCTATGTCTGCTTCTGTCTCCTTGAACCCCAGTCGGCTGCTGGAGGTTTCTTCCTGTTAAAAGGGAGTTTTTCCTCTCCACTGTCGCTACAAGCAGGCTTAGTGTAAGGGATTGTCTTCAAGTCAATGAGTTGATTCAATCAAATGGTTTTCCTTGGATAGAAAACTTTGAATCAATTTGACTGGATGATCTGGATGGAGTAAGAGCCTTGAGATGACATTTTGTAAATTTGGCACCATATAAATAAACTGAATTGAATTAAAAGTCCCTTAATCAGAAAATTAATATTTAAAAAACTCTCCGCATTTATTAGTACCCCTGGTCAAGACGTTAATCACACACACCTACACACACAGCTGTGTTTTCATGACTTGTGGGGACCTTTCATTGACTCACATTCATTATCTATGGCCTAACACAGCGCCCTAACCCTAACTCAAAGAACAGAACTTTATCATATGGGGACCAGGATTTTGGGAGCTGAATCAGGAGGAAAAAAAGTGTAATACATTTTTTTATTTCATCTGGAAATCAGGAAACTGTTTTATGATTTTGGATTTCTAAATACAAAACAAAAATGGAATGGCAAGTATGTGCAGGAACCATTTTTCCAAAACTATAATCAAATGAATTTAAAAGAAATGTTACTAAAACCATTTCTTTATTCTATATTTTACCTTTTCAAATCAAGGTTTGGTTTTTTAAAACTATTTAAACTTACGGGAAGACGTGTTCGTAACTGTCTCCAAAGCTGTAAATGTTGAAATAACAGCCATTTGGTAAACTCTTCAACAGGAGCAGCAGAGTATCCTAAAAGGAAATAGGAAAGAAAGTGAATAAAACAGTATGACAGCGGTGCTGTAAGTATTGAAACGTTCCATCTAAAATATTACCCTGGCACTTGCAATACGACTCTCATGACTTCCACAGTATAAGGGGAAGTCCATGCTGGCCGATCGATCCAACAAGAACACAAACTCTCCACTGGAGTTACATTTGGACATCAAAGATTCTGAATATTCAGGATACAAGCTCACCATTACCACCGGATCACCCATCACAGAGCCTGAAACAAACCATGGATGCCAGGTCAACTCAGATTTGTGCTATTTCACATAGAGATGAAATAATTCATCTATTAGTAAAATAGTAAACTAATTTAGTAGTCAAATAGCTATTAAAGGGAATATATAGACCTTCAAACATGAGATTTGCTGAAAAAACAACCAACAATTAGAGTAGAATAGAATTCAACTTTATTGTCATCACAATGTCACAAGTACAAAGCAAAGAACTTCATCATCTGCATTTAACCGATCCTCTTGGAGAAGAGTGGGCTGCCATTGTGTGGCCCCTGGGAAGCAGTGTGAAATTAAAGTTGTAGGGAAACTGCTGTTCCAACGGTTTCAGATCCGAATTCTCCCGACTGGTGCCCGACTTTATACGAGTGAATAAAGTGAATGTGATTGGTTATTTATCAAGGGGGAGGGATTGTTGTGGCTGAAGGTTCGCAAGCAAGTTTGATTGTGGCCGGTTTGTCGGAAACATCTTGCTAACCAGTTAGCAACTTAGTGCTAGCAGGTTCCCAATGGGAAATTCCATTGGGACCAAGTAGCACTAAATTGGTGACTTAGAAACGACGCTGTCAAGGAACGCTATGGACAGCGGAAACATGCTCGAGGAGGAGAGTTTAGTGTCGGAGGTCGTGGAGGAGTCTCCTCCGTCATCCATTTTTTATTTAGAGGAGGAAAGCGGGGACGAAGATGTTGTGGAAGAGGACGCCAGGGCGGCAGAAGCTTGGTTTGGTGTAGAAGCCTTCCAGCCGTACATGTTTGAGCCCTTGCCTCGCAACGCTGCCAGTTCTGTTAGCTCTACGCCTGCCGAAGACACAGACGTCCATCCCCGTGAACACTGGGACTTAACTCAATGGGAAAGGAAGTGATTCTGATTTCAACCGTTGCGTATATTAGCTGCGACATATGAATCAAGATGCTATGACTGAAAAAATTTGATTGACAGATGACCGTTGATACACTATATTGCCAAAAGTATTTGCTCACCTGCCTTGACTCACATATGAGCTTAAGTGACATCCCGTTCCTAATCCATAGGGTTCAATATGACATCGGTCCACCCTTTGCAGCTAGAACAGCTTCAACTCTTCTGGGAAGGCTGTCCACAAGGTTTAGGAGTGTGTTTATGGGAATTTTTGACCATTCTTCCAGAAGCGCATTTGTGAGGTTGCACACTGATGTTGGACGAGAAGGCCTGGCTCTCAGTCTCCGCTCTAATTCATCCCAAAGGTGTTCTATCGGGTTGAGGTCAGGACTCTGTGCAGGCCAGTCAAGTTCATCCACACCAGACTCTGTCATCCATGTCTTTATGGACCTTGCTTTGTGCACTGGTGCACAGTCATGTTGGAAGAGGAAGGGGCCAGCTCCAAACTGTTCCCACAAAGTTGGGAGCATGGAATTGTCCAAAATGTCTTGGTATGCTGAAGCATTCAGAGTTCCTTTCACTGGAACTAAGGGGCCAAGCCCAGCTCCTGAAAAACAACCTCACACCATAATCCCCCCTCCACCAAACTTTACACTTGGCACAATGCAGTCAGACAAGTACCGTTCTCCTGGCAACCGCCAAACCCAGACCCGTCCATCAGATTGCCAGATGGAGAAGCGCGATTCGTCACTCCAGAGAACGCGTCTCCACTGCTCTAGAGTCCAGTGGCGGCGTGCTTTACACCACCGCATCCGACGCTTTGCATTGCACTTGGTGATGTATGGCTTGGATGCAGCTGCTCGCCCATGGAAACCCATTCCATGAAGCTCTCTGCGCACTGTTCTTGAGCTAATCTGAAGGCCACATTAAGTTTGGAGGTCTGTAGTGATTGACTCTGCAGAAAGTTGGCGACCTCTTCGCACTATGCGCGTCAGCATCCGCTGACCCCGCTCCGTCAGTTTACGTGGCCTACCACTTCGTGGCTGAGTTGCTGTCGTTCCCAAACACTTCCATTTTCTTATAATACAGCTGACAGTTGACTGTGGAATATTTAGGAGCGAGGAAATTTCACGACTGGATTTGTTGCACAGGTGGCATCCTATCACAGTTCCACGCTGGAATTCACTGAGCTCCTGAGAGCGACCCATTCTTTCACAAATGTTTGTAAAAACAGTCTGCATGCCTAGGTGCTTGAATTTATACACCTGTGGCCATGGAAGTGATTGGAACACCTGATTCCAATCATTTGGATGGGTGAGCAAATACTTTTGGCAATATAGTGTATATGATTGGCCGAATTTAGGTGTTCAGGCTGACGTAGAACTAACTGGCCTGCAGAAGATAACCAGGAAAAAAAAAAAACAGATTTTAAGACAGGATTCTTTTTTTATAGAAATGTTCTAACTTTTTGGACAATATGTCTTATATCGAGTACATTTATATACATTTTTAAGCAAAAATTATTTAAAATTTAATATGATATTAAATACTTTAAGGGTCTTTGCTCAGAGTGGCAGTCCTTTGGAGTGGGGCTTGAACTCAGAACTTCTGGAACCCAAGTGCAATGTCCTAACCACTAGCCCACCACTCCCCCTTAGAGTCATAATGACGCCAAAACTGCAGAAACACATACAGGTTTTGTATTTAAGCTAAAAAAAACTAAACAATTCTCAATAAAGTGGCATCTATGAGCCCGGACTCATGAATCATGATCATGAATCAATCCATGAATCATTCATGTAGGAGCATCTTTTAGTGCCGTTTGAAAAACGTGAGCTCCATTGAAACAGTCATCAGCTGCTGTTATTCTTCATAGAAGTCATACCAGCAGGCGACTGGAGCTTTTAGCAGGAGCTTGGTACAAAACGCATGGAGGACATAACTGTAACTTATTTGCATGGCTAGATAAACAGAATTAAATTTTTCTGTACCTAATCACTCAACCAGATACCTGAACTGCGGCAGGATGATCAGATTGTCACTCTTCGTTTCTATGCTAGTTATTATCGGTACATGCTTCACGACAAGGCACCGGAGCTAACTTCTTGGCTGCTTGTAATTTACTGTTTAATCTTTCATCTTTTTTTTACTAAGCATTTTCTTTTATTGAATCTTATCCTAACATCTGAACTGGTTTTAGCTAAGTCCCTAATTGTTTTCCTTGGTGGATTTTATGATTTATAACTGGAATTCCATTCCAGTTATTCCTTATCTGAGCAAAAAAAGGTGTTGTGGAAGATTTTCGTGAATTTTTTTTAAAAAACGTGTGTGTGAGGAGAGTTCTCCATGCAAAGCATTCTGGGATATATGTGCCTCTTCTGAGGCCTTTCTTTTCTTCTCGTACACTTCTAGACACTTTTTCTTAACAACCTTCGGCCATTTTCAAAGAACCGCGGTGAGAAAGGTGAGCTTCAATGACTGTCTGAAAGTGCGCTAACGAGACTAGCGCTTAGGAACCCCTTACGTAAACATATCACCAGAATGATTGACAATTAGGAGGACCACTCATTCAGGTGATCCACCCAGAAGTAAAAGAACGTCCTCTATACAATTAAGCTGTAATGGTGACAAAATTAGCAATGAATAGAGGCAGTGGCACTCCTAAGACACACGCAGACAAGAAATCAAACATCTAACATTATTCTTCTCTACTCACCAGGTTCGGCAGAGGCCTCTCCTGCCTCCAACACAGCAGTGGGCTGCTGGGCGTCTTTGTAATAAATCAGCAGTTCAACATCTCTGTCAAACTTGTATTCTTCGGCCAACTTAAACTACAGATCAAAAATAATGGTTATAAGATTTATCCTGTTTGTAAAAACCACACCCAGCAGGAACATTAGCTTTTTTCCCACCGTGGCCTGAGTTTGATCAGCGCTGAGATACTGAAGTGGCTCCAGAGAAGAGTTGGACTCTACTTTAGAGACTGGGCGAGGAGAGGAGACTCGGGCAGAGAAGGACAGACTGTAGGGAACCATAAAGGCTGGAACTGAAGTCACCTGGACGCTTGGACCTTCACTACCTGGAAGCATCATGAGAAACAATTACAGACATACAATCGATTAAAACTGTTAAAACCTTTATAAAATGTTACAAGTGATCATTGGATTCCTAGCATAAACAATTTAACTGCAAAAAAACCCTACTTTGTAAGTAAGGCTCGTTTCAGCCATGTGTGGCTTATTTTGTGATAATTTGGGTAATTTGTCATCTAATTGCTTTTTAAAAACCCTTCTGAGAGTTGGTTTAGCCTGAGACGTCTTGCAGCGGAAACACACATTTCAATGACATAGAGGTTAGTTTAAAAAAAGAACAGTTTCTCTTAGTGTTGCAAAAATTTGCCACAGTTTTAAGACAAATTTGTAAGACATTGATCACCTGAAGCTAGCGTTGCATTCAAGGCTGAACTATGTGCCCAAACTTAGGTAGAAGTGTATGCAACTTCTGACCCTGATGTGGCATACAGTGCCTTCCTACTTACTCTAATCCAATTGCAGGATCAGCACTGCCCATGCAAGAAATATTTGATAAAAGATAATAATAGTCAAGATAAGCCATGGATTACCAAGGTTATATCCAACGCCTCTAAAAGAAAACAACAACTTTATAGATTACATTTAAAGAAAAGCACTAAATAAACTGAAGAAAAGTATAAAAGGTCTAAAAATAAGTTAACACAAATGATAGAATTGAATAAAAAAGCATATTATCATAATTTACTGGAGTAGAACAAGAGTGATGCGCAAGGTACCTGGAAGGTATTGAATGGCATTATTAGGAATGGGAGGAAAAATAATAAATACCCAGATCATTTAATAGTGAATAACTCAATTATAAATGAAGACAGGAAATTGCAAAATGCTTTTAATCGAGGAAACTTGGCCAATGAAATGCTGCAACCAAACAATTTTAAAGAGTTTGAAAGGAATAAAAATAATATTCTTAATTTATTTTTAGGACGCACTTTACTGGACACGCTTCAGGAACATGATGCTCTTGAGGCGCGTCTGACCTTAATGTGTGCAAGCTTTAAAAATTAAGCATCAGGTGCGTTTTTGCTAACCTGACTCCGCCAGATGGATTTGCTCCGCATATCCATCTGGAAACCTTCCGTAGAAGTAATTTTGGGAAGGGGCGAAAATACTGGTTAGCTGATTGGCCTATGTTGGTGATAGACGGGCCAAATAAACCAATCAGATCAACGAAGCATATGACGTAACAGAGCGACGACGGAGATGAGCCAATTGATAGATCAAACTCTTGCCGAAACCAGTCGGGAGAAGAGCAAAAACATCTTTTTCTCTGAGAAAAGCCTCCAGAGCAGTGTTTTGCTCTTCTTTCAGTGAAGAAATACAGTGTAATTCCGATAAATCTTGCTCGATAGCCACGCTAGCGCTAGTTTCATCGGCTGAAGCCGCCATGTTCTTTAGACTGTACTGTCGCGCTTCTCGTTGCGTCACACCTCAACCCACCTCAAAGCCAACGCTGATTGGACGTTCGTTTGGTGAACAGCTCCAAAGTCCAGACTCCAGAGTCTCCAGACTGATTAGCGAGAGAAATCTTGAAAGCTCGCGAGATCAGGATGGTCTCACGAGGCTACGTTTTTGCCGCCAAAGGCGTGCCCCGTGTGATCATAGCATAAGGCAAGGACTAATACAAAGAGGAGGTGTTAATCAGTTAAAAGAGATTAACTATGGAATGGTTCACCTCATCAACTTCAGTACTCCAAAACTATCCATGCATTAAAAAAAAAAAAATCTACAAGTCAAATATGGAAAAATATAGTACAATTGAATGAAGGTTTTTAAAATAACCGTTATTATAACTGTTATTATGATAACATAGCATCATTTTGATTGTGTATGTTTAGGTTTCATGCATAAATGTTTCCGTCATTGGTAGAGCTACTGATGTTTCATCTTCGGGCATAGTGCTACATTTGTAAGTGGGGTTAGGCTTTATAAGTCTCGACTTCAGCCTAAACCTTTTCGGTCAGGTATCATTAAGCTTTTTTATTGTATAATGTATAAGACCTTCCATACATTTGTGACTGCTGTGTTCTAAATGTTTATAATGACTGAAGAAATAAACTACTACTAGTAGGTCTACTAGTAGTAGCAGAAATTATTGCACCCAGCATCGCATCACTGCTTGCTGATCAGATTGATTGCTGAGGAATTGCTGCAGAGTCAATGACAAAAGTCAAGTCAGTGTCAACTGTTGCCACTTGCTGATCCAGTTGGAGCAAAACCTGGAAGGTCAATGACCGGATGCAATCTGCTGGTTTTACTTAGATTGAAAGCATTAAATCAACCTGACTTTACGATCTGGATGAACTTTCACTGTAAATTGTATTAGATTATGTGTGATGTGAATTGGTGCTACATAAATAATCTGAATTGAAATAATCTGAGAAATTCGGGAAGTTATTTACTGAGCAGGTGCAAGGCAAAGTCCTACAAGGACCATCGGACCTGTCCTTCAAAACGGGCTAAAAAAGGAAGCATTTGTCGGCCGCATAACAAGTCCTGCAATCCGAACAGGCCGCGGTGCCACGCTATGACGAAATCGGCCTACGAATCTGGTCGTCGGAGGATGCAGCCCCTGATTTTGAACTCAGCAATGGTACTACGTAGGGTGGCCTTCTGGGTTTTTTTAGGACAAGAAAGGCGGTTGCTGCTCAGAGCAAAACACATGAGCAATACACCAAATGTATGAAGCAAGGGAAATACCACTTTGGTAAATGGTAAATGGCATGTACTTATATAGCGCCTTTTTTCACTACACTACATTCATTCACGCACACACTCACACACTGATGGTGGCAAGCTACATTGTAGCCACATCTGCCCTGGGGCTCACTGACAGAAGCTGGGCTGCCATACACTGGCGCCATCGGGCCCACCATCAGTAGACAATGCAGGTGAAGTGTCTTGCCCAAGGACACAGCGACAATGAGCCGTCAATCCTTCGATTTCAGGGCAAACTCCTACATCCAACGCCACTTTGGGCATGTTGATAAGGAAGCATAACGTTATGATAGTTAACAGCTTAAAAATTACAACTATTGGCCAAAGAGTGAAGAGAATCTTACTGTGCAAAGGTTAGTGTGTCAGGAAAAGGATATAATGATATAGATAGGAATTTATATAAAGGATTTGTTTAGTTCATTAGCATTATTTATAAAAGATAGAATAAAAAAAACAAGTCATTCTTAAATTGAGAAAATTTGAGAGAAATGTTATAATACTAAACATATAGGCATTTCTCCAAAATAACTAAAGATATATGGCTGCTGAGGGACGCTGGCAACACATGGCCTGTAAAACTGAAAACAGTCAGATAACAATTTCCTGCATCCTCTGGAAGAAGTCGTGTTGAAAAATGGGTCTTTATTTATGCTGTTTTTCTTCACACTGAGTCCTATAAATATTCCTCACTTGCAACATCTGTTTAAAGGCACGCAGCTGTAACAGGAAATTACTTTAAAATGTTGCGTAATATAGCCGAGCACTTCATGTTGAGGCAACTCCCAGCACTCTGAGGCCCCCAGTCTTAGCCAACTACAGAAATTCCCAGCTCATATTCTGTAAGTGCTCTTAGAATCTGTAATCATTCCTACAAAAAAAAACATCTTTCTCTTTGTTTACATTGGAAGCCACTCCGTTAACGTTGGCTTTCTCTCTATATCCCATTAACTGTTATTCAGCAGTTCTGACTGTCTCCATACATACCCTGAGGTTGGTATCGAGGGTTGAGCACAACAGGCAGACAGAACCTCAGTCCGTCATCGGCCTCAACAGCCAACTCAGTGATGTACTCCAGCCTGATGGAGGCGCTCTCTCCTGGATGCAGATTGCCGACACTCAGAGCGAAGATATCGGGGGTCTCATCACTCTCCTCCAATATGAATACCTGCTGACCGGAGCTCAGACCATTATCGTACTCCTCCCGAGCCTGCAGTCCAGAAAATAAACATACCTGCATTTCAGCTCCTTTAGAGGGGTATATTAATGTCACCTGCTTCCCGCTATCATCGCAACTTCAATCCCTTATAGAGGAACAGAAGCTAGGCGAACAATTCCCTTTAACGAACCCCTCTTTCAGAGACATGTATGAGGCATTGCAGGCTGACAAAAGAACTGAAACGACCCCCATTGGTGCTACTTGGTCCCATGCAACTCTACGCTATTACTGACATTTTGATTTGAAAAAGTTTCTGGATGGGAAGAGAAACGTCTTCAAACTTGGAAACAGGTCCACTGGATTGCTTTTAACTTTTTTTTGGAATGACTCTGACTTGCATGGCTGAGAATCTTCACCAGCATAAAACTCACCTGCTGTTTGTCCTTCACTTCAGCTACAACGTGTGTCTGTCCAACCTGAGCACTGAAATGACACACAGCAGCGTCTCCAGGCATAGGGAAGACAAACACAGCCTCCACTGATTTATCCTCCTTGTTCTCATAGTTCAGAGTGGAGGCCACTGTAGCGACATGATCCTTCACCTCCAGCTGCACTTCAATGCTCTTCAGAGGAACTGAGAAAAGAAGGAGCTGACTGCTTATCATTGCTTATTTCTGGCTGCAACATTTTAATATAACTTTAAATAATTTGATGCTTGATATTTAGATTTCATATACTACAGAGAAGAAATTACATTTATTATCTAAGTTTAAAGTCATTTATTGGTAAGTAGTCAGAAACCACCTGAAAAAACAAGTTTTCATAATAATTTAGCTTAATACTTTACCTGAATCTTTTTCAAAAGTCAGCAAACCAAACATCATTGGATTGAGCTTAAGAGAAGGAGAACAGTCCTTCAGAACATGAAGAATCAATACAAAATGTAAACAACAACAGTGTAGACCTGTGAATTACATGACAATCAGTGGTCAGGATTTGATACTATAAATATGTTTAGTTTGCTGAACAGCTGAAGCTACAATTGCAGCCTAATTAAGCGCCATAACAACATCTATCTTTAGCAGAAAGTACCTGTGATCAAAGCCTGGATCCACTCAGTTCTTCTAGTGAAAGTTTCCCTCTTTCTCCTCCTGCTTCTCACAGTTATACACTTTGTTATGTTGTCATAGCACCGGGAGCGCTTGTTTTACAACATGGCACTGCAAAGGGGGGCGGGGTGCTATCGATCCTGTTTACATTAAACTTGGACAACTTTTATTGTCATTTTGTATACACAGAGTCAATACAAAACCAAATTTCGTTTAGTACAGCTTTCATGACATTCTCATTCCTTAAAGTGCAGCAATGATCAAATGTAAACAGTGTGGAAGAAAAACATGGTGCAAAAAAAACACATTGATATGGACGTTCATGGCATTAAAATGCGTCTGTAATTTGTTTTCTTTCTTACAGCTTTCACAGCTTTTCCACTATTGTAAGCAAGTGAGAAAAACACTGTCTAGATAAAAACAGGGCAGAACATCATACTGTGACGGCTGTTGTCTCTTGTTCTCTTTTTACTTTGCAAAGTAAAATAAAGGGCTGACTGATCACCGATCTCAGTGTATTTCACTGGACTGTACAGTTGAAAACCTTATCAGAGAAAATCTACTTCATAAGCTTAATGTAAATTATGTGGCCTGTGGATTATTTGCATCACTGACTATTCCTGTACCATGCATGTAGTGTTTCATCTATCACACAAACCTTTGTAGTTATCTGAGCTGAAACCAAATCAACTCATCATCAAGCTGTGTCTGCTGTACAGTCTGTGCAGTTGTTTTTAACCATCTGTGGTGCTAGATACCAAAAAAGACTCCAGGAGAGAACAGGTAAGGCAGAATTCCTCTGAAATAACCTACCACAACTCTAGGACTAAGGATTAACTGTGTTTTTTCATCGTAGGTTAAAATGTATTAGTGACTCTTATTCAAGCACACTTTTCTTTACATTCTTTTTTATAATAGCTTATTTGGTTTAAATTATTTGTCTTATTTAATTTCTGATTTGTAAACCTGACAATATATATGAATAGGGTTCAATTGCTGAAACATTTATCATTCTAATTTAATAACGGGTGACATCTGATGGATCTCCCTATATATTTCCTAAATAAAACAAAAATAAAATATAACCTGTTTAGTTTTGTTGACCTGGTGTTTTCTCTATAAATGTTATCCTCAGATCCTCAGACAAACTTCTGTAAGTGTTATGGATGGGAACGCTGTTAAATACATGCTAATCTTTGGTAAGTGTACATTGTTCTGGATTTTACAATCTAACATTGGATGTATTCTTCGTTCAAAATGTCCTATAGTGATGTGAGCAAGTACTGTATGTACAAATATGTTGTTTGTGTATGTGTGCTATAGTATTAAAACAGATGTAACTGGATGACCAGTCTTTTTTGTTTGTTAAGCTTAAAAAAAGGAAAGAAAAAAGTTATATTTGTGGTGAAATTGTCCATGCATCAGGTTTCCTATACATACCCACCTCTGATCAGGAGCCCCTTCACATTGGTGGATTAGGGATTTTTTTTTCTTGCTTTTAGATGAATTCAAAAGGCAGATGATTAAAAACAAAAGGATCACAGCATGATAAATGTACTGCTTGAATGTACTGCTTCCATTAAAGGCAGAACAAAAGCTGTTCGGAATATAAATTTAAATTGACAAAAGTACTAACAAAAAAAAAAGGAGATCAAGACATTGATTTTGAAAATGCATATATATATATATATATATATATATATATATATATATATATATATATATATATATATATATATATATATATATATATATATATATATATATATATATATATATATAAATATATATATATATATATATATACATACGTTACTCGAGTTGAGGGGGCATGGGTTAAATGGGTTAAATACCATCCCCTGTGACATTTTATCACTGAATGTGTACATTTCTATTATGTATTAAATAAAAATAAAAAAACCCTACACAGAATGGAGTCTTTGCCAAACCGATTTGTGAAACAAAGCTTTTAAAAAATAGGACAAAAACTGTTCTACCACCAGAGCGACACTTAATTTGTTTTACGCTAAGTGGAAGTAGGCTACAGGTATCATATATCTCAAGGGGAATTCAGAACAATGAAGGCCAACTTAATTCTCTCATTTTAACACTGTTCACCACAAAGCAGTGGTCCAAGTGCTGGTCCAGTACTCTCTCCCTGGTTGATGGTTCGAGGGTGGACAGGCAGGTGAGCGCAGGCAGGAGGGCTGAGCAGCGGATTGGTCCGAGATCCCTCTCGGGTTCCAGGTTATGTTTTGATGGGGATCCAAGGTCTGTGGTTCCAGGCTTGGTTTCTAGGTTCAGGGTTCTGCAAGGAAGGAGCAAGAGCGGAGTTAGACAAAGGTTTGGGTCGCAGGAACAGGACAAGGTTAGGTCTCTACCAATGCTGAAGCTTTAATAAACGTATGCCCTCCTCCTGGTTCCAGCTCCTTAAGAAGGGTGGTAATCAGCTCAGATGTAGAGCAACCTGCCCATCCATCTCTGCTGAGGAGAGAGAGAGAGAAAACCTGGCCTGCAACCCAGGGCCCAGAGTGTGACACAGAGTGGCAGTCTGTGGGAGTGATAAAAGGAGGAACACTATTTTCTCACCCCTTGTAGGGTGATATGTGTCATCCTCAAGCTCGGGTCTTCTACCAAAGGCCACTCTCTCAGTTTGGAGGTCACAGCCCCCAGTGCTCCAATTACCACTGGCACCACTGCTGCTCTTACTTTCCACATCTTTTCTAGCTCCTCCTTCAGTCCTTGGTATTTCTCAAGCTTCTCGTGTTCTTTCTTCTTGATGTTGCTGTCACTTGGGATTGCCACATCTATCACTACTGCCTTCTTCTGCTGTTTGTCGATCAACATGATGTCTGGTTGGTTAGCCATCACCTGTTTGTCAGTCTGGATCTTGAAGTCCCATAGGATCTTAGCTCGCTCATTCTCAACCACCTGAGGACGTGTCTTCCATTTTGACCTTGGGACTTCCAGCCCATACTCATGGCAGATGTTCCTGTACACTATGACAGCTACCTGGTTATGGCGTTCCATGTATGCACTTCCTGCCTGCATTTTACACCCTGCTGGTATGTGCTGTATTGTTTCAGAGGCATCTTTGCACAGTCTGCATCGGGGGTCCTGCCTGGTGTGGTAGACCCTGGCCTCTATTGATCTTGTACTGAGCGCCTGATCTTGTGCTGCCATGATTAGTGCCTCTGTGCTGTCCTTCAGTCCAGCCTTTTCCAGCCACTAGTAGGATTTTTTCAGCCACTTCTTCTATTTGTCTGTGGTACACGCCGTGCAGCGGCTTGTCCCTCCATGATGGTTCTCCTTCATCTTTCTTGTCCTCACTTTCGGTTTTCTCCTGCCTGAGGTATTCGCCAAGCCATTTTTCTTTGGCGCCATCTTCCTGATGTACTCCTGGATATTAGTTGTTTCATCTTGGACAGTGGTCTTGACACTTACTAGCCCTCGGCCTCCCTTGCTACGCTTGGTATACAGTCTCAGGGTACTGGATTTGGGGTGAAACCCTCCATGCATTGTGAGGAGCTTTCTCATCTTGATGTCAGTCATTTTAACGCTGCCTGGTTACCACCAGACCTACCGGTAATCACATTTGTCTTTCAGATCAGAATGATTGTGTAAGGCCACTACGATTCCTGTGTAAGGTTGGGACTTCCCATGCTAATGGCTTGGATTCGTTAGCAAACATTGCCCCCCTGTGGTACTTGTATGTTACTATCACAAGTTGCTGAGTACTGCCCAGAAACATTGTTGGTTCTAACAATAGCCCCGGCCTGTATACCAGTCCAGCCATTATTTACCTCGGTCGACAGCGAGACCGGCCATTGTTAGAGACCCGGCCGCTAATGGAATACAGGCCAATGTTAGAGGATTTACGGTATATATCTCAGTTATATGGTTTTAGTCTATGTCATGAACTTTCAAAACATTTATTGAAATAAAGACAGAACAGAAGCGCGCCGCTGTGGTTGCTGTAGTACGAGGGTGGGCCACCACCCATTCACAAACACTCTGGGGAAAGAAACACAGATAAGTGATCACGATCATCTGACAGAAGGTGATAATCTCAGTGAGTCACTTACCTGGTTTCACAGTTCAGTCCGTCTCCCTAGAAAGGGGTGCGATCCAGCCGATTGGCTGAACAACCAGACACGGCGTGCGTCACCCAGAGCGTCCATGATGCTGCAGCCCTGGAGAAGTAGCAGGAAGCTGATCCAGTTCAGTGGAAGTCAGAGCGGGCAGGAATAGTTCAGGGATCCAGCAGTTGTCCGCTTGGTCAAAGGTTTTCCACCCACAACAGGAACAGAAGGATCCAGACTTCCAGGAATCCACAGAGCGCTCAGGCAGGTTCAGAGTCCAAAATCCGATGGGTCCACAAGTGTTCCCACACAGACACGCACAGATGAAGCCAGGCTGACGTGAATAAAACCGACCCTCCTTTCGAGTTCCGAGCCAAAACCCTGTGGGCTCCGCGGAGAAGGACCAGAACAGGATCTGAAGACGAGACAAACACGAAACCTCTCAACCTACCGTCTGCCAGGAACCAGGACATGAAATAATAAACTAAAAACCAAACAGAAAACAAATAATGATCTGGCCTCGATAGCTGGGCTGAACTAAAAATAAAGCAACAGACGCAGGTGGATGAGATGAGTGATAATTAGAAAACTGGGCAGAGTTGGGCAGGTGACGAAATGAACAATTAAGGTGAGCAAACAGGCCAGATTATGACAGTCGACTAAAATTCAAAAAGGTTTAAGACTAGTTTTTAGACAGTTTTATGTTGCAGTTCATTAAACAGCTAACCTTTACAATTTTGAACAACAACCAGATACAATGCTGCTGTGGAGTTCATCATTGCTGGTGGGCAGAAATATTTGACTTATAGAAATCAAAAAATCTTTTCCATGAATTAATGCCATACTGTATACAAAAGTGTCTCACAAAAGTTGTGAATATGGAAAGGTCTAGTTCAACTAGGGTGACCATATTTTCATTGGTGAAAACCAGGACACCTTGGAGGGGGGGGGGGGGGGGGGGGGGATATTGACTATAAATCTGATAGGATTTAAAAAAATTTATTGTTGTTTTGCACAATATGCTTAACTAAGTATTTTTTGTTGTTGAATATTAGAGATTTTGCAGATATATTTTGTAGATACATTGTTTAGATTTACTTATATATTTCTAACCCTTTTATAGAATAGAATAGAAAATCCCTTTATTGTTCCACAATGGGCAAATTTACAGCAGCAAAAAGATTATTGAAAATGGTCACACAAATGAGGACCTTAGAGAAATGTATAAGAATAACATAAGAGTTAAAATATAAAAAATAAAATTCTGTAAAGTGTTTTAACAATATAAAACTGGAGAATAAATAACCAATATGCAGCTATGGGCATTTCTACAATAATGGATATTTGAAAATAGCAGCAACTTCAGAGATGTGCAGAATAACAGCAGCATGTTATTTAACTGACTAAGGTTTCTATCATTACATTTGATTTGATTTGTTCCTGCTCCCGGTGGTTGGAACCTTTATTCCACTCTGGATTCTTGTGAGTGTAGTCTTTGTTCACTTTAACTTTAAAAAAAATAAATAAATAAACAAACAGTTTTGAAAACCTCGGTATTCATTCTTTTCCTGCTTTGTGTGTTAACTTTCACGGTTGCTAAGCAACAGAGCATACGCCGGTAAAACCCGCCGATGGGTAGACCTGTTCGAATTCACAGCTTAAACTCTTCCGGCCTCCTTATTTTCAAGGACTTCGAAGGATCCAGTCTAGGTAGACCGCGTCCTTGGAGGATGCAGCCCAGGTTTTTGAACAGAGCCTCTGATTAAGAGCAGGGCTGCCCATAGATATCCATAATAAAGGCTAGACGTCTTACGGCGGAGTCTCAAACGTCATCACCGGGCGGCCATCTTACCACAGGCAGGCTTTCTGTTGTGCTCTGTGGTACTTAATGTAAGGTGAGTGATCAGCACGAACACAAATACTCTTATCTCATTGAATTCTTGACGGATTTACAAACAGTTTGGTTTCTTACAAACGTTATGAACGTGGCTATAATTCTTGATGCTTGAACATGTCGAAATTGCAGATTTTCTTGTCAAAAAATGACTTGATCGTGCAGCATAGTTGTGCATCACGGTTACTTGCGCAAGTTATCAATAACGATTGTATGACAATTA